ACAATGAGATATAATGATAGCTGTCATAAGAGAGGAAATTGCAGGAGTCAATTTGAAAGGATTTGGGAGTGTTCCCTCCTCCCTTGCGATTTGGTTTTCCACATACCACAGTAAGACAGAAAAGCTAAAATATTTCCCTAGGGCCATTGTGATCAGTGCCTCAGAACACTGCTGTTGACATTAAGAAAGTGTCATTCAGTCCCAAATGAGAGCCAGAGCGCGTGTCAGGCTCCACAAAGTCATCTTCTCCAATTTGCATATCAGTGTTCAGTTAACAAGGCCCCTTTACGTACAAATTCTCATTCGTCCTCTAAAAATAGTTTGATGAAGCCTAGATATCACTATGAAATCTCTCTGTCCCTCAGATGAATTCAAAATATCCCTCCCAATCTCCCTGCAAGAAAGGAGCACCTTTTCTTGGCCATTTGACAGTTTAGGAAACCCTTTCACTTCCCTTGGCTTTTTGAGATAAGGCATGACCTGCCGGGGCTGGGGGGCTGGGTAGGGGACTGCAGTAGAGGGAGAGAAAAGGAGACATCAGATCTAATCTTGGCCTCAGTCTGCAGATCAAACTTGAACAAATCACTTCAATTCACTGAGCCTCAGTTCCTAAGCCACTGAATAGGGAAAATTACTCCTATCCCACCGTTCTTACAGTGCAGTTAAGATCAAAATCAATAGAGAGATAAGGAAGTCAGGGGATTTTATAGGCTGAAAAATGCTGGTCTACAAATATCATCAACCCTGAGCAGTTAGGAAAAAATGGAACACTTTTTTCATCGGGTCGCAGAGAAGAATATGAGTCTAGATGGAAGTACAAGGCAAGCGTGGAGGGGAGCCTGAGACACAAGTTGGGGACAAGATAAATCAGCTCATAGAGAGAAGCCCCATCTCTTTGTAGAACCAGTGAAAAGCCACCTGGTCTTACCTGGCTAGACTCTTGCCGGTACTCACGGATGTTTTCTTCTTGGACGAAGTGGGCCAGGCCACAGACGGTGGCCAGTGGAGGTGTGGCTGGCTCAGAGGAAGTCAAACAAGAGGGTGTTCTTGTGCTCTTGCCCCACTCAAGCTGAAAAAATCTTGCTCACCGACAGGGCTGAGGGTGATGTGACCAACCTTCAACAAAGGGTCAAATGAAAAGACTGGGGATGTTTACAAGGAGGAACTCCACCTGTCAGAGGCGGGGAACTGGCTTTGTGGGAAGGGCCTTTCTTGTTCTACAATGACACAGCTCTCTCTTCTGTCCTCTGCCTCAAGGAGTCCTGGATCTTTCTGCCTACTCCTTCTTTGATTCAACCCTCCTGATGGGATGGACAGAAGCAGCCTGCCATCCACTCCTCCCCAGCATCTGTATGCGCCCCCTCCACAGTAACCTTAAGCTTCAAGCTTAAGCTTGAAGACTATGTGTCTTTTATTAATGTTAATGATGGATTGATTTCTTGGATATTTATGATTTTGAGCAGCATTATCAGCTCAGGAGAGGAGAAGCATGAAGAGCAGTATGTCTATGAGAACAAACACAAACGCTCTAGTCAGTATTCCTGGTAGAGTACTTGCCACATGACACTGTTTTGCTTTTAAGTGGATGCCCCTTTTACTAGACTGTGAGTTCCTTGAGAGCAAGGGCCACATCTTATTCTCCTATAGATTCTCCACAATGCCCAACATGTGGCAAGCACTCAATAAATACATATTGAATGATCAGTTAGTGTCTAGTTAGCTAGAGGGGTGGGATGGGGGTGGGAAAGAGGTTCAAGAGAGAGGGTATATAAACTCATGGCTGAATCATACTGTTGTACAGCAGAAACCAACATGACATCATAAAGCAATTATCCTCCAATTAAAAATAAATTAAAAATAAATATATAAAGAAGGCCTAATGATAGGCAATAGGCTTCCCTGGTGGATCAGATAGTAGAGAAGCTGCCTGCAATGCAGGAGATCCAGGTTCAATCCCTGGGTCAGGAATATCCCCTGGGGAAGGGAATGGCAACCCACTCCAGTATTCCTGCCTGGGAAATCCTATGGACAGAGGAGCCTGGCGGGCTTCAGTCCATGGGGTCCCAAAGAGTCGGACACAACTGAATGGCTAACACTCAGTGATAGTAAAGAGAGGATCGACATAAAGATTTGCTTTAAGTTTTTATTTGATTTATGAAAATACTTAACTGATGCTGCTTTCATTTGATTCAATAAATGAAAACATTTATCTTCACAACAAATGTATGTGCATGCTAAGTCACTTCAGTCATTTCTAACTCTTTGCAACCCCATGCCCTGTAGTCCACTAGACTTCTGTCCATGGGATTCTCCAGGAAAGAATACTGGAGTGGGTTGTCATGCCCTCCTCCAGGGGATCTTCCTGACTCAGGGGTCCAATCCATGTCACTCATGTCTCCTGCATTGGGAATTGGGTTCTTTACCACTAGCCACACCTGGAAAGCCCAAAACAAACATTTCTCTTTTAAAAAAAAAGAATTAGTATCTATTTAATGAATTCTGTTCTGCCATTTAATGACTTTGCAACCTGTGGAAAGCCATATATTAACCATTCTAAGCTGATATTTCTGTAAATTGGGGATATCATTCCTCTTTCCAAGATGTGAATGCAATTTGCAAGGCAGCCTATCAAAATGCATATAGGATTAGACTTAACATGGCGACACTTGCTAGAAAATGTAATTGAATATTAATGAATTGATCTGAGGGCTTCCTTGGTAGCTTGGTCTTCCCTGGTGACTCAGATTGTAAAGAACCAGCCTGCAATGCGGGAGACCTGGGTTCGATCCCTGGGTTGGGAAAATCCCCCAGAGGAGGAAATGGCAATCCACTCCAGTATTCCAGCCTGGAGAATTTCATGGACAGGGAGCCTACTGGGCTACAGTCTATGGTGTCACAGAGTTGGACACGACTGAGTGACTTTCACTTCACTGGTAGCTCAGTTGGTAAAGAATCTGCTTGCAATGCAGGAGAGCCAGGTTCGATCCCTGGTCGAGAAGATCCCCTGGAGAAGAAAATGGCATTCCACTGCAGTATTCTTGCCTGGGAAATTCCATGGACAGAGGAGCCTGGCAAGCTACAGTCCATGGGGTTGCAAGAGTCAGACACAATGATCTTGAAACCCAAACAAGAGTTTACTACTTAGAGAGTCAGTGTAAAGTAAAATATGAGCTATGAAGAGACTCATAGGTCCACATGTTTTTTTACAAGTCTCCACAATGCCTATGGCTTCCCAGGTGGTTCAGTGATAAGGAATCTACCTGCCAGGGCAGGAGACACAGGAGACATGGGTTCAATCCCTGGGTTGGGAAGATGTGGAGGAGGAAATGGCAACTCACTCCAGTATTCTTGCCTGGAAAGTCCCATGGACAGAGGAGCCCGATGGGCTACAATCCATGAGGTTGCAAAGAGTCGGACACAACGGAACAACCAAGCACCACACATACAATGCCTGTGATGTAATCAGTTTATGTTTCATTCAGTAAGTAGGTAACTGAGCAAGGACCTTGGCCATTGTCAGTTCTCAGAGCAGACAAGGACAGGAAAATGAACCAGACATAGTCTCTGGCATAAGGAGTTCAGGAAGATGAAATATATAGAAAATGATGAGCACCTGAGAGGAGATCAGAACCAGAGCTGTGGGAAGCCACAGGAAAGAGCAATCTCTGGATGCTTCATAGAGGAAGAAGCAGCCTTAGCTCTAGGGGTTGTAAAGAAGAGCTGGAATTTCAACAAGCGCCGATGGTGGAACTGAATATAAATGTTAACTGTGAGATGGACTTAGCCACTGTTCCCTGACCTCACTGATTTATGTCCTCCTTAATATAGACTCCAGGATGAAAAGCATTTCACATAACTGGTATGTAGGTCACACTACTTACGCGCCACAAAACTACAGGGCAATTAGAAGTAATTGCAAGACAAATACTGTTCCCACTTGGCTCCAAGTGTCTTTATGATGGCTCAGGATGGGGGCAAAAATCGAGAAGGAGCATAAAGATGCTGAATCCCAGCCTGATCATTTAAGAGTGGGACCAACCAATGCATTGTTATCAAAGTTACTGCTGTATCGATTTAGTTTAAAGAGCAAGAGACTATGAAAAGACACCATGGGTCCACGTGGAAGCTATCTAATGAGCATTGGGGTTCCAGGGGCTGCCGAACCCTCCTCCCAGCTCCTGCTACAGTCCTGTCACATTGCACCCGGTAGGAACTGAACAGGAAGCGATCCATCCAGAAAGGACATGAGCAGAAGAAAGAGCATCACAGAAAACACGGGCTCTGGTTCCTCGTCTGCCACTCATGGGGATCATCTGCAAGTAGTTTAGTCTTTCCCAAGCCTGGTTTCCTCTTCTGTGCAATGGGAATTATAATACAGATCCTACTGCCATCCCTGGATGAAATTCTGGAGGTGATGCCCGTCCTGTAAATGCCAACATTTAGGCATGAATGGGCAGTGTCCCAGCCTGATCATTTAAGAGTGGGACCAACCAATGCATTGTTATCAAAGTTACTGCTGTATCGATTTAGTTTAAAGAGCAAGAGACTATGAAAAGACACCATGGGTCCACGTGGAAGCTATCTAATGAGCATTGGGGTTCCAGGGGCTGCCGAACCCTCCTCCCAGCTCCTGCTACATTCCTGTCACATTACACCTGGTAGGAACTGAACAGGAAGCGATCCATCCAGAAAGGACATGAGCAGAAGAAAGAGCATCACAGAAAACATGGGCTGTGGTTCCTCGTCTGCCACTCATGGGGATCATCTGCAAGTAGCTTAGTCTTTCCCAAGCCTGGTTTCCTCTTCTGTGCAATGGGAATTATAATACAGATCCTACTGCCATCCCTGGATGAAATTCTGGAGGTGATGCCCGTCCTGTAAGTGCCAACATTTAGGCATGAATGGGCAGTGCTATTATGATGGGACATCTGATGACACAGGGGATTTGCCTCATGTCTACTGTTTCCAGTTATATCACAAGCTTTGTACAGATCTTCTGGTGGATGAGAATATAATCACCAGTTGAGGAGCAGAGAATCACAGAAAACATGTACTGGGTAGGTACTTAGAGATCATTTCTTTTGGAGCATCAACCTTTCTCTCTCTTCTGCAACAGCCTTTACGACTGATTCCCCTTCCTCCTCTATTTCAATCCTGCGCTCCCTGGGAAGGAATGCAGGTTGTTTCTTGTTTGGGTGAGGGAACACTAGTTTGTTAGACCTCCTCCCCTCCTGCCATTTTTCAGATGGAGATGGAGAAACACCCCATGTACACACAGCTGGCCCTCATCCTGGCCTCCGCAGGGCTGTTCTCTTTCATACGTGCTGGGGACAGCAGACAGGCAAGAGAAAACCGGAGGAGGCATGGATCCTCACTATGTCTGAACCAGAACCACCTCCACTCTAGGTTGCCCCCCTCCCCCGCCCCGGTGCAGAGAAGGATTGGTACGTAGCCATGCATCACCAGGGTAAATAGATTCTGTCTATAAGAATCCCACATCCCCACTCCCCAGCTATGCGCTCTCCCCAGGAGTCTTTTGGGAAAGAGGAGCACAGCAATGATGAATAGATCCAGGCAGCAGTTGCTGAAGCAAATAGGAACCAGCAGGCCAGTTATCAACAAGAAGTACAATGAATATATTATAGTGAATTTCTCCTTCTCTGGAGTTCCAATAGCACACAGCAGGCATCACTAGTATTATTCTTAATTGTGGTTAGTTTCCTCTCATGACAGTAGTTGTCTACTTTCTGTAAAGGTAGGGGTGATGTTGTAAATATTCTTTTCAGGATTTAGTATAATAGAGGAGCTAGAGGTACCACCCAGTAAGACAACAGAGGTGCCCAAGAGATGCCTGATAGATGGAAGAATGAACAAACGCATGAATATATGATCTACTATCTCCTTTTCTGGTTCCATGAGGTTGATGCCTGAGAGATGACAAGCAGGAGAAAGAGGCAGTAAGCTCCCCTGTGATTTTGACATGGAACTAAACTCAGCCCAGAGCATCTTTTTTTCCTCTCTCTATTTACTCCGGACAATCTGTCCTTTATCAGATGACCTCAAGTCTGGTTGGAAAATATCATCTTCTTCCAGTTTTGTTTTGCTGCACAGACATTTGTCTGCTTTGCTATATGTTGTACATGCAGTAGGACTCAGACAAATTGCTTCAGCTTTCTAAACTGTTTTGTTTCTTCCATTCAATTATCATTTATCCCTTTTCCTTCCTGCACCTCACTCTTATTCCCAAGTTCCCATTTAATCCACAATGAGAGGACACAATTGTGCTGTTACTCAGCTTCAGGCTGAGAAAGAACATGGAGGCTGGAAGGTCTGAGATTTAGATCCCATTTGTCACCAACAAGTAGTGTGACCTCCCACCAATCATCTTTGCTATCTGAGTCTGCTTCTTTGCAAAATATTTGCCACAGAATCTAAAAGCCATGGCTTGAAACTCTCTGGGCCCCAAGCTGTAGTCACCCTTGTGCTATCTTCCACATTTAGTGCAGCTTGGGAAGACTTCTTGTTTTCGGCTTAGGTTGGAGGCAGTGGTCTGGTGTCTATTGGCTGAGTGAAGTCCCTTCCCTCTCTGCCTCAGATCGCCACTCCACAGCTTGAGCCGCCACCACTCAGAGCAGACTCGCAGGACTGCAGTCTGAAAGTGGCACATTCCCTGGCATACAGAAGGGCCCCACGCATGGTTTTGCCCTGCTGCCACCGATTTGAGAGTCTTGATAATTCCAGACCATAGTACCTGTCTCCTGAGAAACCTGTATGCAAGTCAAGAAGCAACTGAACTTCACATGAACAAATGACTGGTTCAAAATTGGGAAAAGAATAAGACAAGGCAGTATACTGTCACCTTGCTTATTTAACTTATGTGCAGAGCACATCATGAGGAATGCTGGACTAGATGAATCACAAGCTGGAATCAAGATTGCTGGGAGAAATACCAACAACCTCAGATATGTAGACGATATCACTCTAATGGCAGAAAGTGAAGAGAAACTAAAGAGCCTCTTGATGAAAGTGAAAAGGCTGGCTTGAAACTCAACATTCAAAAAACTAAGATTGTGGCATCCAGTTCCATCACTTCACAGCATATTGATGGGGAAAAAAATGGAAACCTTGGCAGGTTTTATTTTCTTGGGCTCCAAAAATCACTGTGGATGGTGACTCTGGCTGTGAAATTAAAAGACACTTGCCCCTAAAAGAAAAGCTATGACAAACTTAGACAGCATATTAAAAAGCAAAGATATCACTTTGCCAACAAAGGACCAAATAGTTAAAGCTATGGTTTTTCCAGTAGTTATGTATGAATCTGACAGTCTGACCCTAAAGAAGGCTGAGCATCGAAGAACTGATGCTTTTGAACTGTGGTGTTGGAGAAGACTCTTGAGAGTACCTTGAACTGCAAGGAGATCAAACCAGGCAATTATAAAAGAAATCAACCCTTACTATTCATTGGAAGGACTGATAGCTGAAGCTCCAATACTTTGGTTACCTAATGTGAAGAGTCAACTCATTGGGAAAGACTCTGAGGCTGGGAAAGTCTGAGGGCAGGAGGAGAAGAGGGCAGTAAAGGATGAGATGGTTAGATAGCATCACTGACTCATAAATTTGAACAAACTCTGGGAGATAGTGAAGGACAGGGAAACCTGTCATGCTACAGTCCATGGGGTCACAACAAGTTGGACACGACTGAATGACTGAACAACACAATAATTTTTGAATGAAGGGCCTGCATTTTCATCCTGCACTGGGATCTCAAACTATGTCCACATTCCTGCCCCTCCTCTTCTACCCCCACTACCCCAAAGCAAGAGAACTAAGAAGCCTCAGGAAGAAGGAAACAATGGCACAGCTCTGCCAGTTAGGGATGGCTGTGATGGGACCGCCCCAATGCAGAGCCTACCTGTGGAACACCCTTCCTTATACATACACAACCTAAGAAAGGATGATGACATGAAACTTGCCACAGGCCCCACCTCTATCAACATTTTCCTTCTTGAGAGGCTCCTGAGCCTGACTCAGGCCAAGGAGTGGCTCACCATTCCTGCTAAGCACTGGGCTCCTCCCTGCTTTCAGGTGGAAATGCAGGTTGCCTTGGAGTAGAAACCATCTAGTCACCACCCAACATCACAGAGCTGGGCAGGATCTGAGAGCAGAACCCAGGCAGCTATAACAACCCACCTTCCGGCATCAGTGAAACAAACTGCCCCAGGTTAGAGAATGGACTGACCCAAGTTCACACTGAGTCAGTTTCCCAGGCTGCTTTTGGCATTAATTCTCCTTCAGATTTCTTCCTCTTTCTATATATTTGAGATCTACAGAGAAAAACAAACAAATCTGTTCTTCTGTCACACAGATAACACACTCCCACACCCAGTGCAGAGACTTGCAGATTCTGACGCTCAATTTATATTGGCCAGATTAAATGAAAGATGATCCTGGTATCTTAAAACTGCAGCAAGATGAAATGATCACCTTGGCTCTCTTCTTCTATCCCAAATTCTTCTGAGAGCCTCAGTCATTTTACATGTCTCAGGGGAAAAGAAATCTAAGGAGGAGGCAAAGCTTGACAAAATGTAAACATGTCAATAAACAGTGTGTGATAAACTACAATGCAAACAGAGACACACTTTTGAAACATTGAGACTCGAAGGAAAATAGGAAGAGCACTAGTTAGGATGAAAAGGATTATGCATCTGTGTAGGCACAAAAAGGTACTTCTGGGTCTTAGCTCACTAGCTTTCTGGGTGATCTTAGGCAAGTACATCTCTGGGAGAGTGTCTCTCTGGCCTTTGGCCTACTGGTCAACCACTTGAGGAAGCTTGGACACACACACAATGAAGTCCTTTCAAGGGCTGGCATTCTGTGGTTCTAAGTATCAACTGGTATCACCTCCATATCAGTGTCAGGACTTTAAGACTGATTTACAGAGGAAGATTACCTTCCAGAACCTAAGTTAGTGCAAAATAATGAAAGCAGCAAAAGAATTCAATTCAGAAAGTTGAGTTCTGACTACAGGGAGTGATTCAAAGAAGAAACTGCTATGGAATTCTGATGCAAAGAGAGAACACACTTCTGAGGGACAAAAGTAAGTTGGGGTGGGTATCTGAGGAGGGACCTTGGGCAAGGAGGCTCCCATTCCCTCGTGACCCAGTTTGGACTGACCGACCCCTCCCCACCAAGCACAGTCACTTGAACAGTCTAGTCACTCTGCTCGGCTGGAATGTGTGACAATGAAGAGAACAGTAGACTCTGAGGGTAAGACCTTGTTACTGAGTAGGTTTGAACAGTAGGCCAAGGTGTTCTTAATTTTCATCTTTATTATGTTTTAGGGACCGTGTTTCATGATTGTCATGACATTTGAGGAGTTCCTGTGAGCTGTGTCCAGATGGCAAACAAGACAGCCTCAAATATCCTCCTCCCCAAATCCCATGGGGAAGGAGAAAGAATGTGCCTTTTCATCTGACTTGGTCCCTGACTCAGCCACACTCCTGCCACATGAGCAATGTGGCACATCAGCAATTTTCTGTGACATCTGAACCAAAGCTAGAACCACAGTGTGAGCTTTGTGACCCAAGTCTCAGGCCAGACCTTCAGCCCAGGCATCCTTCAGGACCAGGGCCAGGAAAGACAGCCCTGAAGATAACATCTGATGTGTGAGCAGAGTCTGTACTACTGGCCTGAGAACTTGCCCTTAAAAATGCATATTAAATAGGAAAAGGAGTACATCAAGGCAGTATATTGTCACCCTGCTTATTTAACTTATATGCAGAGTACATCATGAGAAACGCTGGGCTGGATGAAGCACAAGCTGGAATCAAGATTGCCAGGAGAAATATCAATAACCTCAGATATGTAGATGACACCACCTTTATGGCAGAAAGTTATCAGTCCTGGGTGTTCACTGGAAGGACTGATGTTGAAGCTGAAATTCCAATAGTTTGGCCACCTGATGCAAAGAGTTGACTCATTGGAACAGACCCTGATGCTGAGAAAGATTGAGGGCAGGAGGAGAAGGAGACGACAGAGGATGAGGTGGTTGGATGGCATCACTGACTCAATGGACATGAGTTTGGGTGGACTCCAGGAGTTGGTGATGGACAGGGAGGCCTGGCGTTCTGCAATTCATGGGGTCTCAAAGAGTCGGACACGACTGAATAACTGAACTGAACTGATTCCTGATTTATTAGATGAGAACCCCTGGGTGGGCCCAGGAATCTCTGTGTTAGGAAGTTCTGCCCGATAGCTGTACTGCACAGAAAAGCTTGAGAAGTAGACTGTTTCATTTCCTCAATCTACTGTTAGAAATCTCCAACAGGGAACAGACTATGAAGAACTCAGGGACAGGAGCTTAGAGGCGGAATCATTTCCTGCTGCAAGGAGGCAGTGGTGAAACACACACATCTGGATGATAGGCAGAGGGGAGTGTGTGATAAAGTTAGAAGACAGGTAATTTGTACATAGGTGATCCAGAGCCCTTTAATTTCTGTCTTGCTCCTGCTTGTAGGATGCAAGAGCTCCTAGGTGAACTTTGAGTTTCAACACCTACATCCCAAATCCTTAGCTGGATTTCTGTTCTCTTACTGCCTGATTAAACATAAGAGAAGTTTTTGCTTAGCAACAATAATAAGAAAAAAAGATGCAAGGGACAGGGGCCAGAGCCACCTGCATGATGTGAAGGTTCACAGAAGAGAAAGCCTGAAGGCTCTTGTGAAGGGAAGGAGTCTGGCCATCCATGCCTCTAAAGAGGCCCCCCCCACATCTTCAGGGTGTGGGGCCAGTGAGGACAAGCTTCCTCTCCCTGAAGTTTTCGTAAAGCACCCAGGTGACGTGGAGACTGCAAAGGGAACCTGCCACACAACATGCCATATCCGTTTTCAGAGGGTGTCAACACCCTCCTTCCCACACCTGCTATTCCCAAATATCACAACCTGATTTTTTTCTCCAACCTCCTGTCTTGATGATGATGATTAAATATTCATGGGATGCTGTGATGCCAGCATACTTTGTGAAATTTCAGAAACCTTTTTTTTTTTAAACGGAAGCTTTTCTTTTTTATTTCAGATGATCCCAATTTTGAAGAGAGGTAGAAAGACAAATGCCAGTAACTCAAAAACTAGAAACTGTACCAAAAAAGCTAGCATCCTAAGTTTTCACGATTGTGTCTCAAGTTCACAGTGCCCCACTTTAAGAAGAAGAGGAAAGCACAGGATCTAGAAATCAGAGATCCAGGAGTTGTTCCTACTACAAAAGAATTTTTCATTTTACCATGGGGTTCATTTAAATAGCAAACTTCCCAACTCTAGGTAAAATATTATATAGGCAAATTTATTTATGTATGTATTTATCATTTAATTATTATGCAAAAATATGTTCACCTTATTTGAGGAAAAAAATGTATATATTTTGAAATCAGAGTCTGCTAGCTAAAGGCATCATCTTACCCAGCTGTTTTCAAAATGAGTTTCAGGGAGCCCTGAGGTTCCTGCCAAGATGCCTCTGGGGCCACCCTGAGACACAGGCTGAGCCCGCAAGGCGGAGCTAGGCAGTGCCCACCTCAGATCACCCAGCACAATTCTACTCCCCCCCAGATATGTATCAGAGGTACATGTAATGTTTAGCTTTTAAGAAGTTGAGGGAAGGTATCCAAAGCACTCACAGAAGACTAATTCCTTAATTTTACATTTTGGAAAATGAATAGAGAAGTGATTTTCCCAAAGTCATATTACATTTTAGCTTCACTCCAGTGTTTCCTCTTACACTGTAACTTGTTGCCCCACAGAACTCTCAAAATTTGATTAAGGAAACTTGTTTGTCTCCTAGAAACATTAGCACCTAAGTCTGAAACTAGTCAATCATTAAAATAACCAGAAGAACCAGCTCAGAAATAATCAGAAACTGAAGGTAAATTGCAAAACATTTTCTTGTTGAACAAGCCTGACATTCTCAAAGGTCTCCAGATGAGCTGGATAATGTCAGTGTTGATCACAGCTCTGTCTTGAATCACAACACAGATAACTTGAGCTAGCACCTTCTAAAATGTTATTCAAAATACCAGCTAAAGCAAAGTGCCTCCATCAGGTTGAATCAATGCCTCAGTGAGAAGCAGTCACTCAGAGGAAAAAGTAGTAACGAGAACCTTATGTTGGATCAACTTGTGCCCTATATTTATTTATTTCTAATTATTTAACAGATACCTATATGTTGCTTGCTCTGTGCTGGGAACTGTCAAAAGCACCTTACAAATATTAATCATTTCATTCCTATAAAAATGCTGTAAGGAAGGTACTATATATCATTGCCATTTCAGAGGTGAGAAAACTGCTTACAAAGAGGCTGTGTGTTGTGCTTAATCGCTCAGTCATATCTGACTCTTTGCAACCTCATGGATTTTAGCCCGCTAGGCTCCTCTGTCCATGGGGATTCTCCAGGCAAGAATACTGGAGTGGGTTGCCATGCCCTCATCCAGAGGATCTTCCCAACCCAGGGATCAAACTCACATCTGCATTGCAGGCAGATTCTTTACCTTGTAGCTGAGCTACAAGGGGAGCCCCACAAAGAGACTAAGTGACCCTTAGTTACAACTAGTACACAGCTGTTCAGAGTGATAAGTCCCAAAGACACACCCTAGGTCACATGCAACACAAAAGGTGCTATATCATCACTTGTGATATAGCAAGCTTCCCCAAATTTACTCCAAGACCTCTAAAAGCAGAGCCTATTAGAATCTGTGCCATTAATATCATTATTGGGCTTCCCAGGTAGCGCTAGTGGTAAAGAACCTGCCTGCCAATGCAGGATACATGAGATCTAGGTTTGATCCCTGGGTTGGGAAGATCCCCTAGAGAAGGAAATGGCAACCCACTCCAGTATTCTTCCCTGGAGAATCCCATGGACAGAGGAGCCTGGCAGGCTACAGTTCATAGGATCGCAAAGAGTCAGACATGACTACAATGACTGAGCACTATAATTATTAACAATCAGCTGATAATATCATCTAATATTAATAGCTTTTATTCTGCCAGCACTGCTTTAATATTAGTACTTACAGACATCACAAGCCTATTAGGGAGAAATCTTCATTAGACCCATTTTGCTGCTGAGGGAAGAAACACAGAAACGTTATGAAATATGCCAGAAATCATGGGAACCTAAAAAGGTAGAATTGGAATTCAAAAGCAGATTTATCTCACTACATGATGTGTATTCTAGCAGAGTTCTTTAATTGACTCCTGCAGACTTGTTTGTTTTGCCCACAGTGTTTTTTACAATTTTTTTGAATGAGATGCTAAAATCTACTAATTGAGAAGTTTCAATGAAAAATCCAGAATTGCTAGATGCTTCCCTCTTTAGAGGAGGTTTCCACTTCTCCATCATCACATATCCAGCCAGCTTCCTGCCTTTATGCTATTAGCCTGCCTCCTCGAAGCACTTGAGCTTGAGCCATTGAGCAGGATATTCCAGGAGGCTCCAGAGTACCTCCTGGGAGGCACTCTGCAAGTGATCCCTGGCACAACCCTCAGATTTTTTCAAACTTGAGAAATGTATGGACCCATTTACAAGGGAAAAAAAAAAACCAAATAGTGGCATAAAACTCTGAAATACACCAAAAACCTTTGAGAGTCAGCAGAGTTCTATTCAAAAGTCACTATATTAAAATGTAATCACTGTGACCTACACAGATATTCTCAACTGCACACCATAAAAAGTGATACAACTTGTCATTTCTATTAACACTGAAACAACACAAAATTGTAAACCTTCTATAGCATAATGCTTTCAAGGGTAATCATCCATGATGTAACATGTATCAATCTTTTCTTTTTAGGGCTAAATAATTATTCCACTGTTTGACTAGGCCAGATTTTGTTTATCCATTCATCCATCTAGGTTTGCCTGGGGCTGGGTGAAAGGGGGAGTGAGAGTGATGCTTAATAATTATGGATTTCCTTTTGGGATGATGGAGAAGTTCTGAATCCAGATAGACAATGGTTGCACAACACGTAAATACATTTGATAGTTAAATGGTAATTTTATGTTATGTGAATTTACCTGCAATTAAAAAAAAAAAAAGTCTAATAGCACATGAAACTTCCAAAAAAACTGACTTCAAAGAAACAGAAATCAAAGTTAATTTATTTACGTTCCTTATTTGATAGACTTACATGTACTCTGGTCTTTTTTAACCTAAAAACTAGCATCACTGATATGAACCGTTAGAATCTCATTGTGTTTACTTTAAATTCATCTGCTCAGTTCTCCTAGTTGTATCTTATATTCATAGCAGTCTGGATTAAACTGTCTTCAAATGATTTCTGAGGCTTTCTCACCTCTGTGTCCTGACCCATCTGCTTGACTTAGAATTTGGAATGCTGCCATACCAACCATCAAAGACCCAGGTAAATACCATTACCTGGTCATTACTAGAGTCAGATGTAAACATCACTTCTGATACAACTTATTGTATCATTCTTGCCCCGCTCAGAAAAACTCTCAGTGTTTCCTCATTACAAACCAAACTGAGTACAAAATTATTATCCTGTCATTTAAAATGGTTAACAATCATGCCTCACCTTTATTCCCCATTATGTCCCTTCATATACCATATATTCCATCCAAACCAAACTGTCACCATTCCCCAAATGTGTCTCATGCACTTCCATACCCAAACCTTTTCTCAGGATGTTCCCTCTACCTGGAGCCCCTCCCTCTAGAGGAAGTCTTCCCAGCTCTAGGAGTATTCCCAGCTGACTTCTCCACTGAACTTCCTCCAGTCGTCACCATCCTGCCACAGCTCAGGTGCTGCCTGCCTTGATTTTGAACCTTTACATTCTCTCACCTCTTTTCCAGCATGAACAGTCTGTCTCACCGTGAAATTATTTCCAGACTGTGGAAATATATATTTCAGTCTGGGAACTCTTTGAGAGAAGAACTGTCACATTAATCACGGTAAGTACCATCATCCCTGGCATATAATAGGTGCTCAATTAACATTTATTTCATGGAAAGGAATGCCATAAAATGGAACAAATAAAAGGTAAAAAAAAAAAAAAAATCAGATAAAGAACCTAGGCTCAATCATTGCATTTAGCCCTACTGTCAGGATTTTGGCTTCCCAGATGGCTTAGTGGGAAAGAGTCTGCCTGCCAATGCAGGAGACACCAGTTTGAGCCCTCAGTTGGGAAGAGGGTTCCTGGAGGAGGAAATAGCAACCCAATCCAGCGTTCTTGCCTGGAGAATCCATGGACAGAGGAGCCTAGCGGACTACAGTCCATGGGGTCATCACAAAGAGTCGGACATGGCTTAGCAGCTGAGCACACATGCAAGTCAGGATTTTGAGCCTAGAAAATAAAATCTTTTGCACAGTCATGACACCTGAAGAAAAAATTGGGTTGGCCAAAAAGTCCATCTGGGTTTTCCATAAGATGTTATGGAAAAACTCAAATGAAATTTTTGGCCAACCTAACAGTTGGTGTGGAGAGACAGGCAGATGTGGATAAGAAGAACAGAAGGATGAACTTACTATTTTTTAAGCTGAGAGGGCAAGCACTCTGCTGGGCAGTTGATGTATTTGTATCATTGGGTTCTCACAAGATCCCTCCATGTGATGGCTGAAGATAAAAAAAAAAAAAAAAACAGATAAAGAACCTAGGCTCAATCATTGCATTTAGCCCTACTGTCAAGATTTGGCTTCCCAGATGGCTTAGTGGTAAAAGAATCTGCCTGCCATGCAGGAGACACCAGTTTGATCCCTCCGTTGGGAAGAGGAATCCTGGAGGAGGAAATAGCAACCCAATCCAGCATTCTTGCCTGGAGAATCCATGGACAGAGGAGCCTAGCGGACTACAGTCCATGGGGTCATCACAAAGAGTCGGACATGACTTAGCAGCTGAGCACACATGCAAGTCAGGATTTTGAGCCTAGAAAATAAAATCTTTTGCACAGTCATGACACCTGAAGAAAAAATTGGGTTGGCTAAAAAGTCCATCTGGGTTTTCCATAAGATGTTATGGAAGAACTCAAATGAAATTTTTGGCCAACCTAACAGTTGGTGTGGAGAGACAGGCAGATGTGGATAAGAAGAACAGAAGGATGAACTTATTATTTTTTAAGCTGAGAGGGCAAGCACTCTGCTGGGCAGTTGATGTATTTGTATCATTGGGTTCTCACAAGATCCCTCCATGTGATGGCTGAAGAAACTGAGGAGAAACAAGAGGGAATGCATAAGTTGCCCAAGGTCACACGCCTGTTAGACAGTCTAACGCCTGTCTCCCCATACTGTGCTGCCTCCCCATACCACACTGTTTCTCATAACAAAAGAAAGGGCAGAGAGGCCATGCCAATTCCCTCTAATCTTGCCCTCTATGGTGATCTACCTCAGCAGTTACATGCAATTTAAAAAATTAATAATAAAGGCTGACACCATTTATATATCCACCATGTACTCAATGAATAGGTACTTTACACACACTGTCCTAAATTTTCCAACCATCCCATGAGGTTGGTATTATGCATATCAGTATGAGGAAGGAAACTGAAGTTTTTATGTGTTCGGGGTCATGCAACAGTACAAAGCCAAAAATCCTACCCAGATCTCTATGGGGTGCCTCTTCTCCATAGATTCTAGCCATAAGGGATTCTCAAAAAAAAAAAAAGAAAAAATTACCCTAGACAGAATCAGTGTTTTGAATATGAAAGACACAAAGATTTTCCATTTGGTAATCTGTATTTTTATCCCCCAGAGAAGGACATACATGGAAACAGTTCTGACAGGTGAAGTTGGGACAACACCAGCATCCCAACGCTTCCTCTGAGCTTTAATCTTTCCCTGGAGTTCTTTTATTTTGATTCCCGTTGCTACCACCAAGTTAAGTCCCCATCTCCTAGGGCTGGGGATGCAGAGAGGATGAGAGAGAAATACTTTCCCTCTTTTCCTCTCAGCTCAAGGTAAACATAATCTTTCTCCTTGTTTTTCTTCACACAACTGAGACAGGCTGACATATTCAAGATGAAATTTATCAAACACTAAGAAAAACCTAAATGTAAATAAAGAAAATAAAAACAGCACAAAATAGATGACTGGTCCTAAGACTTTTAATGAAAGAAGGAGTTTATTGAGCACCAAAGTCTATTGCATTCCCAAACATTATCATAAATAATAAACCAGCATCAGCACATTGCATGGGGTCCCACCCACTTGATGACCAAGTGGCATTGTCTTCCCACTTTGAAGAAGAAATCACCCAATCAAATACCCAGAATCAACTCACAGACTGCCTAGGGGCCTCCCACTCAGTTTTATTCTTCCTTCAGAAAAATCAGCTCATAGATCATTTGTCAAGAGGAACTAACTGACATTCTGGACATTTGTAAGTCCCAACGAGGTCTGCAGCCCTTCTCAGTTGGGGCTGACAACTCTACCCACTTCCTTCTCAGCCTTCAGTCAACCCCTCCACCCACCAGCCCACCCATCCACCAGAGACGTGTTCCTTTGAAATTTGAATTTTAGAGTTTATTATGACATGAAGCAGAGAGTAGCAGTATTTGAGAAGGCCACCTCCTACACTCCTTTGCAATGCTCACAAGATTTTTGACAGTGGATCTTCACAGCTCACAAATTCCATGAAAAAACATTCTATCAAAGCATCACCTACCACAACAGTTTATCCCCAGGACTGTGGGTATGAATCTGCAGGTCCTGAGAGAAACAGAAGCCCTGCTTCTCATTTCCCAACCCACAGTGCACTCCTAAGACCAAGAACAACAAGAGGACTGGAAAACACCAGCCACTGAATCAAATCATTCCTGTTGGGGACTCATGGCTGACTTCCGGTTGTTGGTAATAACAATGACAAGAACATGCAAATAACAGTATTGGCATGAGCAAACACTGCTGCCTTATATTAGCCTATGAAAGCTTCCCATCTCTCATCTCAGTTGGGCTTCCTGTCAGTCCTAAGAAAACACCAGAGCCGGGTCCTTCGTCTCGCCAGCCTGCTCTTCCAGAGTTCTCTCTCGCTTTCTCCCATCTTTCCCCTCTCTGTGACCCTGACCCACCATGCTTGCTTATGTTTCTCTGATTTTGTCCATCTGATTCCTTTTACCTGAAACACCGCCTCGATCTCTTCTTTACCTGATGAAATATGCCATCTGTGGCGACCTATTCCCTGAAAACCTTTTGTAATTCTCAGAATTGGTTCTTCCCTTGCCGTCTCTTTATCTAAAAAGCTGGATAGAAGCTTTATTATCTTTTTTTAAGTGCATTTCTCAGATGAAGTGCCACTTTAAATATTTTTGAAGCGTGAACTTTGATTTAACATTGAAGCAAAACGTTGTGAGCACAGAATGGCACAGACCCAGGCAGTAGGGTGTAAATGTGGTGTGAGCGGAGTACATGTTCATCATTAAATGAAGAACTGCCAGCTACTCTGAAGGAAACTTTGGAGACAATAAAGTTTTATTATCCTAACAACTTTCACAATAATTCTGTTTAAGAAGAAAATTGCCTTTGTCTAGGGCAAAAGGAAAAAAACACCTTGATAAGCTCTTAGTATAGAAAATGTGCCTTTGAGGACAGCTTCAGAGAAGTGGGCAAACATCTACAGTGAAAATGAGAGTAATTTGGTTTTATTCTTGAGGAGAGGGAGAGAGAAAAGAAGACAATAGAGCTGTGAAAAGATGGGGAAAAGACAGAACCCAACAAGACGGAGACAAACTTTTGATTTTAGTAATTAGCTATTGCTAAATAAAAAAGGCCAGTGTAATTCCATGTTGTTGGGAATGATGGTTTGAGAAAGGTAATGCCTGTTCTTCTCATTTGGTAGTATTAAAAGACTTAGGTCCACTTGATTTCTAGGAGCCTCAGTTTCCAAAGTTGTGCAAGGGAAATAACAATCAAATCCAGTTCACAAGGGGTATTTGGGAGACTGAGTGATACACATTAGTAAGAACAGTTTGAAAACCAGGAAATAATGATATTTACTATTTTCAGTATGAGATGGTTTGAGGGATCCTCCGATGGTGATGGTGAATGACTATGACATGACCACACGATTTCCCTTCCATCATAAAAGTTTTGGGCAGAGTCTTTGTCTTATAAATGGAGTCCCTGAGAGCTAAAAGAGTGATGTCACATTAATAAAGTCCTGCAGTAATTAGATCATTTCCTTTTTGTTTTGTGTTTTGCCATGACCCACGGTATGTGGGATCTTAGATCCTTAATCAGGGATCAAACCTGAGGTCCCTGCAGTGGAAGCACAGAGTCTTAACCACTGGATGGCCAGGGAAATCCCTGAATAATATACTTTTAATCCATTTGCTTATTTATTCAAGCTTTATTAGTCTATATAATATGCATTGCATAATACACAGCACTAGTAACTCAGTCTTTGGTGCTATTAGACAGATCAGGTTCCCCAGAACCAGAAAGGAGAGAGGATGGAAGAATTTAAGAGATCTTCTGTCATGGAGACCCAGCAGGCTCCAACTCATTAACCTGGCCCAGGGAGGAAATGGAGAGTACTTTCACAAAGCAGATCTGCCCATCCTCCTGGGATGCCGCAGTGAGGCGCTTTGTTTGTGCTTTATTTTCATGGAAACGTTTTTCCAAAGGGTAAAGGATTTCTGCCATACTCCCTAAGCAGTATAATCATGTCCTTCTTTGTTTTTTCACCAAAAGCATCAACAAGCAGCCAGGACAGAAGGTGGCCGGAACCTGCTCTGTGTCTGCCTCACAGAGCCGCAGGCCAGAAGGAGGGCGCCCCTCACCGAGTTCCTGGCATTTGATGTCCCGTCTGGAAAGGAAGCGTAGCCATCTGCCCTGGACTCTATTGAATAGATAGAGCTCATGGACCATTTGCAACAGAAATAAGCCCTCTAATGCAGCCTCAGAAATGATCGCTCCAGGGTCAGAATAAAGCCCCATAGGATGGCAGAGAAGAGAGGATGAGAGAAGCAGGTCAGTGCCTGCTCCTCAGGACCCAAGACAGAACCATGGCTGGCTGAAGCCGTGTTCAAGTTTCTCTCTGACACACCTCTGATACTGGTGAGAACCGGAGAACCAGGTTCAAGGGGCCTCGTGGAAAACAGTGGCTCCAGTGCCTTTGATTTACGGATGAGGAAACCAAGGCTGGAAATGAGAGAGTGACAGCAGGTGAGTCCCAGAGCCAGATTCAGAGGACCCTGTCTCTCCTCTCACTACTCTAATAGGAGTCTCATCACTGGGGAAGGATAGTCAGAGAAGGTGGTGGCAAGTGACCATCTCAGTGATGTTCTGTGTAAGCAATCATTCCCACAGCCTGAGAACCCCATCAGCAGACCATCAGCAGGCCTCTAGATAATACAGTTTACGTCAAAACAACTTTTATTTCCCGTGTGTTTTCTCAGCTGTGCCTTAAAATAAAATCTATGTGTCTAATCTCATCCAGCTCTATGCTGCCTGCTGCCATCAGAGAACCGTGAGGAAGTGCTGTTAGAAAGAGGCAGCAAGAGTGTGAAACTGCTGGGAAACTAGGGGAAGGGTGACAGCCGCGGAGAAACCCAGTGGACAAGCTGAGCTGGATGCATCTCCCGCGAATGTCAGCCTGGCTCAGCTCCTGGGCATGGCAGAACGGAAAGGGTGTGGCCAGACAGACCTGGTCTCATTGTCACACAGAGTAAGTGTTCCCCACCACTATAAAAGACATCCATTCAGTGGCTCTATCACAGACTTTTAAAGTTACCCCTAACTCACTTTTTCTCCCACTTTTCATCCACTCCATCACTAAACACTGTTGGTTCTGACTCCATAATAGACCCTATGTTGGTTTCCTGGTGGTGCTGTAACAAATCACCACAAAGGTAGTGGCTTAAAATACAACTCGATTTCTTTTATCTTACAGCTCTGGAGGTCGGATGTCTGCAAGGATGCATTCTGTCTGTGAGCTCTAGAGGAAAATCTTTTGACTTTTCAAGTAAGCTTCTAGAAGTCAATTCCATTCCTTCTTTCATGGCCCCTTCCTCCATCATCCAAGCCAGCAGCAGACCATCTTCTCTTCCATCCTCATGTTGTCTGTTCTCTTTCTTATTCTGCTATAGCCATCTTTAAAGACCCTTTGATTACACTGGGTTCATCACATGACCCGAAATAATCTCCCCACCTCAGGATCTTTAACGATACCTGTAAAATCCTGTTTGTCATAAGGTTTTAGGGAATGGAACCAGGACATGTTTTGGGGCCAGTATTTAGCCTCCCACATAGCCCAATTCTGATTATATTCTCAGCATCTCTATAGCTACTAGCCTAATCTCATCCTCCATGATCTCTCACCTAGTTTATTGCAGTGTCTTCCTAATGTTTCTCTGCTTTTGCCATCCTTCAACCAACACTACTCTTCCCCAACACACATGAGCTCTTCTAGAAACAGCAGTCAGACCGATTTATTTGAAATGCAAGTCAGATCATGCCAAACCTCAGCTCTGTGTACTTTCTGATCTCCAAGGCCCCCCGAGATCCAGCCCAGTGACCTCCTCTGGCCACTCCCTTCCTTTGCTCACTCTGGCCCAAACACACTGGCCTCCATTGGGTCCTTGAGATTCCCAGGTGCACCTATGCCTCATAGAAGCTTGCACTCACTGTTCACTGCCTAGCACATGCCTCTCCAGATCCTCCCCTTATGTCCTTCAGGTCTTTGATGAAATGTCACTGTCTTAGTGGGACCTACCTTGACCACCCAACTTAAAATGGCAAAATCTTCATAATACAACCACTTCTTTCCTCTCCTTCCCTGATTTATTTTTATATTATTTGTCTCAATCTGATACACTGCAGGGTTTACTTATCTGTTATTTTCTGCCTTGATCTGTCCCCACCACACAGAGATATACACCGCATGAGGGCAGAGATTCCTGCCAATTTTGCTCATTACTGAAGCACGAGCCCCTAGAAAGGTACCTAACACACAGTAGGCACTCCACAAACATTTGACGAATAAATGAATGAAGATTCTTAACCTCTCTAAGTCAATGAATGAAGTTACCTCCGAGCCAGTCTTCATACTTAGAAAATGGGAATAACAATATCCATTTTGCACATGTTTCAGGAGGTGTTTGCACATGCCTTCTGTTTTCTGTCCAGCCTCCAACCCTTCTTTCTATTTCTAAAGAATATCTCATGATATGAGTTATGGATGAGATGAAGTGCCTTTTTCCCATCCAAGAAAAAAAGTCTCCCTCTCTTTATGTCCAGGCATTTGTAATGGACATGTGACCGAGATTTGGCCAACAGATGCTTCCAACCAGAGACCCAGCTTTGGAGGGATAATGGGCTTTACTCACAGTCGCTCCGGTGTGGTCCAGGGTTATCTAGACATGGCGCTGTCTTAGTCAGTTATGGCTGAAAGACCCTCCTTGCACTGAGGGTTTTCTAATACATGATCCTCTTGGCCCTCTAAGACTGCCTTGGCTTCTGCCAATGGTCCAAATCCGGTGCTCCTATATCTCAAGTCAGTCAGCCCTCTCTGGCTTCCAATCGGTTCTTCATTCACCTATGCTAAATGGAGATTTTGTTGCCTGCAGCCAAGCCCCTGTAGCAGACTCAAGGGGGAGATCTGGAATAGGTGCTAATGGCACCCAACCCAGATTCAACCTGCTGACTGGAGCACCCAGCTTGCAGGTCCTGAAGGTATGTAGCTAACAGCTTACACACAATGGGACTCAAAGAACTGGCCTGGGCTGATGGGAGCTGACTCCCCAGAGACACTTGAGAGGTTATCCCATCCCTCACCCCTTACATCCAATGACTGACTGATCTAAGGGTCAAGAAGCCTAGATCTTTTGCTTCAATGTGGAACCACTCTCCTGGGTCAAGTACCCTGAATCAGACTGATGCTTGATGTCACCTGAGATCACATGGTGCTCGGCTTTCCTCTTCCCTATCTTCTCTCCTCATTCCTTTGGAGAGTTGTTTTTGTTTTTTCCCTGAGGAGCATGCCTTCAGTTCACCACGTGCACCCAAATCCCTTCTCAGTTTCTGATTCCAGAGAACTTGAATCAAGACAGATCTCGACTAATAGCCAGATGAAGAGAAATAAAATATTTATTTGGAGCAATCCTAGCCAGTACCTGGCACAGAAAGGCCCAATCAGTGCTAATGACAAAAGTCAAAGTCTGGCGATGGTAAACTCACTACCCGATATAACCTCACACCCCATCTATATTGTGCTCTGGCCATCAGAACAAATAGTTTCCTTAAAAGATGTTTCCCTGTATACATCACGGTCCTTTGCTCTATGTCTCTCCTCTAGAGTCATCTGAACCACACCTGATACCACTTTCATAAGAGAGCTGTGCAAATAACAGAGCAGCAATCCTGCTCCTTCCAAGATGTTCTCGTCACTGAAGGAACATTCCCAGTCAAGCAGACACAACTGTCCCACCATCACACAGTCCTTTGTAAAGAAAACTGCCCTTGTGCTATCTTCATTGAGTGATGAGGGTTCCCTCTGGGTTTAGGAGTAGTTATATTTATAGGCTAGAACCTGCTTCTGGCCAAAGGTGCTAGATCAGATAGTGCCCACAGCCTAAGAATTGCCAAAATATAGGCTAATAAGCAACTATGGAATGACTTAAAGAGCACAATCTACCCAACCAGGGATTATGGTAATTAGCCACAGTAATCAGATTATGTCTTTCCAGGTTATATAACATGGAACAAATGATGCAGCTTATAGAATGCAAAGAATAGACTCTAAGAGAAACAGAAACTGATAGAGTAGCTGGGTTGCATTGAAGATAAAGCACAAATCAAGGCAAGTGTGTCCTGGCTCCCACAGTCCTTAGAGCAGATCCAAGTCACTCTGTTGGATGCAGACCACCTTCCCATTCCAGGAGCTGTGTGGGTTAATGGTTAAGGTTTGCCTGGGTTCCTGTAAACCCAGAGGCCCATTTCCATGTGTGTATATGCCCTTAAAAGTGTTCTTCAGTGATCTGATCTAACTGGAGTTGAGTTTCCTTTTTTTTTTTTTATTTTTACAGCAAAGAGAGTTTAACACCCTCAGTTGTTGTTCAGTTGCTAAGTGGTGTCTGACTCTTTGTGACCCCATGAACTGCAGCACACCAGCCTTCCCTGTCCTTCACTATCTTTTGAGTTTGCTCAAACTCAGGTCCATTGAGTCGGTGATGCCATCCAATCATCTTATCCTCTGTTACCCCCTTCTTCTATACCCTTAGTAATTAAATACAAAGTAATACCCTATTGTAAGGCCCTTTGCAATGCTGTGGTTTTAGCTACATTTAGGGTGAGTTTTGACTTCATAATACACCTCCAACATACTTACATTATATAGTGAGAAGACTGCTGCTCGATATCAACTCTACCTCTTAAGTCAGCTTCTTCTGCATGGGTGAGTGCTTAGTAACACAGTGTCCGGGAACTGGGAAACCCACCTGCTCTTCTGAATGCCTGAACTTATTGAACCCCAAGGACAAGCAGCACTAAGGGACTCCTTTTGGAGGCATGCTTGCCATTTGAATCATCTGTGCTGATCTTTGCCCAGACATCTTGAGAAATGAATGAGAGCCAACATTGGACTTTTACTAATTGAAAATTGCTCAGCAGTTCCCATCAAAAGATTGGGGCTTTTTTTGTTGTTGTTCCTGAGACAAAATAGAAGAAATCTAAGGCACTGTCAGAGATGGAAGGTCCTAGAGAGTCAGTGTCCTCATTTTGCAGGTGGAAAACTGAGATTCTAAGATGAATGACTTAGCCAGGCTCACCTGTGTGGGAGCTGGAGAGCCAGAGCTCTAATAAAGGTGTTATAACCTCTAGCCTTGCTCTCTCCATCAACATCCACTCCTTCCTGCCCCCAGGGATCTGTGGAGGATACTGAACAACCCCAGATTGTATGTGAGTACCACTGCCCTGTGTCTGGGCTTCCCAGGTGGTGCTAGTGGTAAAAGACCCACCTGCCAATGCAGGAGACGTAACAGACATGGGTTGGATCCCTGGATTGGGAAGATCCCCTGGAGGAGGGCATGGCAATCCACTCCAGTATTCCTGCCTGGAGAATCCCATAGATTTTCATTTGAAATTAGCCTGGAGGGAAAAAAAAAAAGTTGCATCTTGTCTTAAGGAAACTTTACTGAGGGCCCATATGTCCTCTATATCTGTATGGGTTCTTATAAATATATTGCAAATCCATTGAGAAAAGTAAT